GACCAGTAGTGGTACACTGTAGGTAAGAGAGAGAGAGAGTTATACTGATAGACTAATGATGAGTAATTGATTATTGTGTGTGTGTGTAGTGATACAGTGAGTCGTTCAGGAGTGTATTGTTCAGTGAGTATTGGTCTAGAACAGTGTAAGGCAGAAGGTGTAGTGGATGTGTTTCAAGTGACTAAAGCTGTGAGAAGGAGTAAACCAGGAGCTGTGACTACACTGGTATATACTAGATATATGAGTGGGTACTAGTGTATTAATGATATTATCTCTTTACAGGAGCAGTATACTTCCATATATGATGTGATTGACACGTACCTTCAGATGAATGAGACTTATGGGAACTTTCAGTTTTAATTATTTCATTTAGAAGACTCGCAAATAATTATAATAGTTCTTTGTTTGTTGTAGAATTTCAGAATACATTAACAGAAATAGTGCATAAAAGCAGAGCATGCATGTGATGCCATGCTTCAAGTTTAACTGATTTTTATTTGTTACACAAAAACAGGACAGAAAGAAAAAGTAGGAGAGAGGAAAGAACGGTGACTTGGATAACCACATTTACAAAAGGAGGGAGAGCTATCTTGTAAGCATAAATAAACCTTCTGTGTTTATCAACTAGTCAATGGTGCATCAAGTTTAAAACAACCAAGGCTTTGGTTGCTATAGCTTAAATGGAGTATTGTTTATGTTTACATTACCTGTTTCATTTAAAATCATTATTTTGAAGGGTGCTTCAAAGCTAGAGCAATTCTAGTATCTATACAAAGATGGCAATGTTACTCGTTGTAACAGCAGCTATCTTGTTGAGTGTCAGTGAAGTTATTAGTCAATCGTGTCCACCTTCCTCAGGTAAGACACTGGATGTGTATAATAACAACTGTATAGGTTTTATAGGTATTTACCTGAGGCATAATGGAATCTGTTATCCTAATAGATCCTATTTTTGGGATTATAGCATCAGATTAAATCCTTTAGAGTGTGTATTACCTGGTGCTATTCTGGATGATGGAGAATGGATTGGTCCTAATGGAACAGTTCCTTGTGATGGTGGTAACAATCAAAATGTTCAATGCAGTACTGGGTCAGGTGCTAGTCTCAGTGTTCATATACAAAACAGTAAAAATGTATTTCTGTTGGCACCTGGTGATGGCTGGTACAAGTGTTGTCTACCCACTAATTGTTCAGATCCTAACACTACCATCATCTTTGTTAAAATATTCAGTAAGAGGAGACTATAATCACTTACTGATGTAATAATTTCCATTTGTAGAATTTACAGAAATAGACTCATTTACTGTTGCTGATCTTCCTTCTGATATGACAGTATATCCTCAGGAATACAAACTGAATTGTACTAAAATTGGATACTTCGAGTATGGTATTAGTATGAGCATTGGTAGTACTGCACTGGCTAGTTACACTAGATGTTATGATTCTACTAATAATTGCTCTGGTACTGTGTTGTTTAGTAGTACCAACAAAATAAGTTATACAGTTACTATCACATGGGATGGAATGAATGTCAGTAATGGATCAATCAGTCAATCAACCACTGGAGATCAAATGTATCAGTGCAGGGTAGCAGATCATCCTGGTGCTGCTGCAATTAGAATACGTAATGTAACTATAAAAGGTAATTAATGTCAATGAATGCTAATAATTCTTGTTACCAATAATATTAGTACCAGCAACTGCTCCCTCTTCTCTTACTGAGGTTAACAAGACAGCTACCACTATCACTGTCAATTGGACTGCACTTGATTCATCTGATGCTGATGGATATGTAGTCAATGTCACTAGTGACACAGACACTGTGCAGACAGTACAGGTGGAGGGAAGTAGTAATAATACAATCACACTGAATGGACTGAGAGGAGGAACAACTTATAGCATCACAGTCAGAGCCTATCAACAATTACTGGGACCTGCTAGTACAATCAGTGTACAGACCTTACCAGGTGTTGCTACTGCACCTTTTAATGTACTTGTAACATTGTTGATGTATTTCTAGTTATTAATTCAATCAATTGGACACTAGTCTCATCCATTACACAACTCAATAACACTCAATATCATATTGATTGTCTCACAACTACTGATATTATAAATCCTTCAACTGATGTTTACTGGTTAGTGAATGGAGTGATGAAGAATAGCTCAATGTATACATCAATTGATGTCCTTACATACAACAACACACTACTGGTATATCCTGATCCACTGGGAGTGTCAGTTAATGTTACCTGTATAGCAATGATTGGAGGAGTCAACTACAGTCAATCTGTGATGTTACATGGTATGATTATACTTTAATCAATAGTAGATACCTTTGTCTCTTTTCTAGCTCCTAGTGGTCCTCCAAATAATGTGAGAGGGTTTATATTAAATGCTACTAGTATCAAAGTGAACTGGACCAATTCATCAGAGACTAATGGATATGTGATTGAGTATACTACTGGAGGTGTAACCAGGAATGTCGTATCTACCAATGAAGAGGAAATTGTACTAACAGATCTCTCACCAATGAGTACCTATACCATCAGTGTGTACTCATATATAGATCTTCCTTCAGTTAATAGTACAGTAAGAGTGTTAAGATTTGATGGTGAGTTATTATGATTTAGAGAGTGTAATTGATATGTGTTGTAGTTCCTAGTCCAGTAACTAGTCTCTCAGTATCTAATGTCTCAACCACTGGTATTAGAGTGAACTGGACTATTCCCAGTAGCGACAACTATGTAGCATACTACACCATCTCCTATACTCCATCTTGTCCCCAGTTATCATCAGTGAATGAGACAGTCTCTGTTGGTCCTTCATCAGTCCACTACAAC